ACGACGCACAATTATAACGTAAGTGTTCAGAACTGGCCTGATGTATGATTGGAAAAAAAGGAAGCCACTGGTGAACGTCTGTACTGTGTCTACCATGTTTACACACGCGGAAATGCGCATGCGCAATGTCATTGCTACGAGCGGTAATGTATCAATTATTGTGGGTCCCACATTGTTTATTTTCCGATATTTTCAATTTTTATTTAAATTTAAACCAGTCAGTTTTATTTTCTTTAATTAAAGGAAAGTATTTGTTTTGTTACATATATTACGGGGGAAATAAGATAAAGTTTGTTTTTTATAGTAATTTTTACGTATATTGGGGCTTTAATATCTAACCTTAATTTTAGAGGCTTACTAAGCTTCTTCGTCTTCGCAGCATAGAGTCCTTCTTCGGTCAATACATTCTCCACCAGATATAAGTTTCCTTTTCCTTGGTTACGTTTGTAGGATTCATACAAATGGTTCTATGATACGCCTGATCGTAACTGTCGGCAAACGACTTTAGTTTCTTTACATATTTGCAGTTTATGGTTTGTGTAAAATATCTGTACAATCTGGACTTGGTGGTCTCGATGACTACTCAGACACCGCTGCTTTGGATTTTGCAAAACCATTAAAAGCACCTTTTGTCATCTATACAGATTTCGAAACTTTCGCTCAGGGAAGTGATACATGCCTTCCCGGCTCGAAACAATCGAGTAAGACTCGATTTGCGAAATTTGAGCTATCTGAGTTTGGGTATCAAGTCGTTAGCACAGACAAATATATACCAAACCATCCGTGATTTATCGTAGACCAAACGTAAGTAAAACGTTTCTGGAAAACATTCTAAAAGGAAATAAAGGAAATCAAAGACATTAAATCATGTAAAACATTTGTTAATGTCCCCAGAAAACAAACGAGAAGTTCAAACTAACACTTAGTGTCACATATGTAGTATTTATTTTACAAAAAGACGTCGTCAGAGATCATTGTTATGTGATGGGAGAGTGGCAAGTTGTCAGGACTGTAATCTCATTAGTCCTCATACATTTCCGTCGTATTTCACAATGAAAAAGGATTTGATGGTTCCATACTCTGTAAAACTATGGGTTTATTTTAAGATCACCATATCAAGTGTATTCCGGAAACACACATTTCTTTTAGTTTGGGGAAATTACACTTCACAGATTCGTTTCAATTCATGTCCCGGTTTTTGGAATCACTAGTCAAAACACTAGCTAGAGAGGGATTAAAGTCATTCCAGCATTTAGCCAATGAATTTTCAGTTGAACACGCAAACTTACTGTTGCGAAGAGGAGTTTACCCTTATGAGTACGTGAACAAAGTAGAAGGATATAGCGGAACATATTTACCTCCAAAGTCGACTTTTTACAGCCAATTGAGCATATCACACATAACGGAGGCAGATGATTTGCAGACTTTTTGGAATGCTTCAAATAAAAAAGATATGCAGAAAAATCACGATCTTTATTTAATTAATCAAATTTTATGTATTGCTGTTAGCTGACGCGTTCGAGAAGTTCAGGACCATTGGTATGAATTACCACAGACAAGACCCTTACTTATTTTTATACGAGTCCAGGACTTGCATGGAGTGCTGCACTCAAAATAACGGGAGCCGTTTTAGAATCATTTACAGATCCTAACATTTGTCGGTTTTTCGAAAGCGGAGAAGAAGGTGGTGTGTCCATGATATCACACAAACACTCCAAAGCTAACAACTTTTTCGTACCAGGAACTTACGATTCCTCTAAATCTAACAAATACATCCTCTCTACAGATTATAACATTTGTACGGCAAGGCCACAGATGAACCGTTACCAGCGGGAGATTTTCAATGGGTTGATTATTTAGAACAATTTGACGTTGAGAACGTACCTACTGACGGGGACAATGGTTACGTATTAGAAGTAGATTCAGAATATCCGTCAGAACTACATTGTTTCCGTTCGGACTATCCCCTCGCTCCAGAAACCAAAGTCATACCCGCGAAATGGTATCTCCATATAGTAGAGAGCTATGGGGTAAATTACTTCCCGAAACTAAACATACAGGCAACAAACTGCAGGGGCATGTTGCCACGCCTAAACTTCTAACTAAACTAGAAAGTAAAACAAAATAAATTTTCCACTATATAAATTTACAGCTATACTTAGAGCTAGGAATGAAGCTAATTTTTTTAATTGATGAATAATTCAGTGTTTGGTAAAACAATGAAAAGTCCGTAACAGAGTCGACATAAAACTGACACACAGAGAAAAAGTCGGAAAGATTTTTCAAAGATTTAAGATATTCAACGAGGTTTTCGTGGGAATAGAAAACATTAAAATCAAACTACTACTCAACAAACCCTTGTGTATCCTGGATCTCTCTAAATGTATCGTGTGCGATTTTCCATTAAAATCACATGCTGCCTAAATATGAGAACGTGTGTCTATTAATGACCGACACCGACAGTTTGATGTACGAAATACTGGACGTTACGGACTTGTACTAAACACTGCGAGAATACAAGCACTGTACGATCAATCCAGCTATCCTACCGGTCATTCAATCTATGACCTCACAAACAAGCAAAATACTAAAAAATAAACAAACAAACAAAAAGACGCCCGGAAACATTAAAGACGAAATAGGCGGGAAGGTTTTACAAGAGTTTGTCGGACTGGGACCGTAAATGTATTATGCCTCCAATCAACAATCTAAACAGATAGGTAAGGGTATCAATTTCACGACATGTATCTAGAATGTCTATTTGAGTGTAAAACCATAATGTATGAAATGAATTCTATCATAAGTGACAGAGATGACACCTATACACCATTAGAAAACCCGGTCTCTAAAGTTTTGACGACAAACATGGACACACGGTCATTGAAGAATAAAAATCAAAGTACTGAAAGACTAAACGTATTGAAAAAATGTTCACAAATAACCGCAAAGCTACATTACTTTCCCCGTACTCCTACACTTTGGAATGCAAAAATTACTAAAATAAGAGAACCAGAGGCTAATATTCTTAATTTTAAGCGATTTTATATCTTCTTTAATTCTTATTTCAAATTTGACGACAATAATGTGAACAAATCAAAATAGGTAAGAAAAATACAAAATACACACAAACATATATTTATCGCCAACAGGCAAATGATAAATAGCTCTATGATGAAGTTGACTAAATAAAACCTTTGAAATATCCAAGATGTTGCAATTACTATCCTATCGATATGAGCATTTAGACAAATCGAAAGGACTTTATACCTACTTCTTTATTTTGAATGTATTGCAAAGTAATAGTCCTTACTTATTATAATTATATTTGTAGTTGAGGAAAGTAGATAAGGTGTACACAGCATTTCAGATAGATTAAAGTGTAAGTAATTACATTAAATGTATGTACATGCCTATCTCCTTGAAGTATCATGGTTAGACTTTTCTTCCAGTAATTATGTCTATAAATACATAGTTCTTTGAGATTAAACCAGACTTCTATATATATACAAAATTTACAATATTTTCACTATAGCTACTACTATTTCTGATCTCCAATGCATTAGATAATGTCACCATGACACGCTAAATGAATAAATATGTTATGGAAATATTTCGTTCTGAATAATTGATAATTATAAACATGAATATTTTGGGTTTTTTTTATACGCGCTTTGTTTGAAGGAATATTTTCATTTCAAGGAACTTTGACACACATTAGCAAACCTTGAGAAATCAGCACAATCAACCTTCATCATATAAAACTAAAAGACAAAACAATATAAGTTATAACAAAGTCAACATCATGATCAGTACAGTATCAAAAATATATCCTTCATAAATCATAAACACCAAAGGCACCTTGCCTACGAAGCGCAAACGTTTTATCTTCAAAAACCTGAAAAAGTGTCATATCGGCGGGTGTGCGCGTGGGACGAACAGTCCAATTCGGTGACGTCTAATGAGGTAAGGTGATGTTATATATTAAGACGATCTTGCCACAACGACAAGGATTTAAACAAAATTGATGTTCTGTTTGTAAGTTTTGTTTGTTTATAAGCGTTGTTAGTTGATAATTCAAACCAAGCCCCTAGACTAGCTTCTTATCATGGCGCCAACTCGCACGTACAGTGTTCTGTACGCTTACGTCATGTCGAGAATTCCGTAAAATATATTGTTCAAAAGTTATCAATATTTCAACCACACTGTGGTTCTTTTTTAAATATATAGTAATCGTATTGTTATTAAAAAAATAAACTAATTTTGGATGCTTTTAAAATAGCGATTTGAAAGATCGCGGCATTATTTACGCAGAAAATTGCCGCTAGAGGGCTCTAACTCTTTTCGATATTTCAGCCAATGAGAAGGCCAGGATCGGTAAATTTAGTCTGAAAGGCCGTCGCAATAGGCTATGCGTATCGAGTACGTTTAGACTAAAAACGACATCTCATGGTGATACAGACTAAATATGGATATAAAAATAATGCTTGTCGAAATGTCAAAATACAATTTTTATTGTTGTACATATTGAAGTTTAATTACATAGTAGAATTCACTCTTCAAGTTGTACATGATTTTCGAAATATCGAAATAAAAGCGTAATACGTAAGAGTTACTTCCCTTATGTCGACACTATTTAAACATACATCTTGGTTACATTATATCAACTGTAACAAAATCTTGTATCAAATGACCGATCTCTAGTATTGACCTTACCGGTTGTGAGGGACCAATTTTCGGTGTATCTACAGAGGATTCTTACGAAAGAGATAGTTTACATCCCCCAATAACCCTTCTCCATTTTAAACTTAACACTGTATCAATATTGATAAAACATGCGTTCACTTCTTAATTCTCGATATTTTATTTTAATTTCTTTGATAATCATTTTTAAAAAATCCTATGTATCTCGAAATAAAACCTTCACCGTAGCTTAAGTAGTGGATATCTACTCTCGTCGGACTACACATGATGGCGGCGTGGGCGCCGAAGGTTGCAAACATATGGGTGTTAAAGGCGTAGCTGTAAGTGTAGGCGCTAAAGGCGTAGGTGTAGGCGCTAAAGGCGTAGCTGTAGGTGTAGGCGCTAAAGACGTAGCTGTAAGTGTAGGCGCTAAAGGCGTAGCTGTAAGTGTAGGCGCTAACGACGTAGCTGTAGGTGTATGCGCTAAAGACGTAGCTGTAGGTGTTTGCGCTAAAGGTGTAGCTGTAGGTGCTAAAGACGTAGCTGTAAGTGTAGGAGCTGAAGACGTAGGTGTAGGCGCTAAAGGCGTAGTTGTAGGTGCAGGTGTTAAAGTCGTAGCTGTAGGCGCACGTGTTAAAGTCGCAGCTGTAGGTGCATGTGTTAAAGGCGTAGCTGTAGGTGTAGATGCTCAAGGCGTAGCTGTATGTGTAGATACTAAGGGCGTTGCTGTTACCAACTGGGATGTCCTCTGAAGGTGTGCGACTTTGGGGATGGTCGCCAGTTTTCAGAAACCGTTAGGGCGCAGTCTGCTGGCATTTCATTGGACAGCTTGTCCAACCGATGAGATATTTGAATTAAAATAAAAAGGATGCTTGACTACTCGTAAAACATTCCATTCAGGGGAAATGCCTTTCATGTAATAAACTTTAAACTTAGGCCAAACAAAATTAACAAGATTTTTAAAAAAATGATACTGGAATATGACTTTTCATTTTTAGAAATTCATTTAATAGGTTCGCTCTAAAGATAAGGAGGACATTTTTTCTTTTCTTTTTCCTTTTTTTACCTTTATTATTTGATCACCGATATTGACAAAATGTAGGATCATGTGGTTTATACTATTATAAACATGACAGTCGCAAAAATTCCTGGATTTTGAGTTTTGAGTTAAGACAGGTCGTTTTATAATCTAATTTTTAATTTTAAAATCTAAGACAAGGAAAATCCAAAGAACTATATTTCTTATGTTTTTGTTTATGGACTGTCTTGAGTATGTATCATTATAATTCAGAGGCAGGCCTATACCTATTGAAGATAATTTCCTTGCTTTATACATTGCCGAATTTAAGTGATTATTTTCACATTAGACATACAAGACCATGTTCATTCTGACTGGTTTTCGGGAGTTACTTCCCTTAAGTTACCATTAAGTATCCTATAATGCAACAGTGAAAAAGAACCATATAAGAAAAACAAGGGAAAAAAAAATAAAAACACATAAAGATAAAAAAAACTACAGGCAGGGATAGACAGGAACGGGGCAAAAATGACCGCAAATGAACTTCCAGTCCTCAGTTGGAACGCTTGGTGTCTAAAAAATATACTCATAAAAGTTAAAGAACAATTAAATATCCACCAAAATATCCACCAAAATACAGTCATAATAAAAAAACAATAAAAAAAAATAAGGTAAATTAAAAAAAAGAGTTTGATCTAACCTGAAAGTACCTAAAATCCGTGGTTATTAAGTACTATTAATTAAGATTTGGACATCAACATACAGGGTTTGCCCATTACATAAAAAATGACATTTCATATCTCCCAAAATTGAGCTAATCGGGGCCGAAATACATGGTATAAATAGCTATTTTAACATGAATAGTAGACCCAGTAATAAAATAGAAAAAGACGATTTGGAAACATTATAAACATCTTTCAAAATTACCAACATATTTTATCCGATGATTATAACACCTTATTGTGAAGTAAAGATAATGATACGCGGGGTAAACTTTTAGAAGTTTGATTAACATAAAACAATTTAGTAGTACTTAATTACCCAAAATTGGAAACCAGAATAGATATCAATACAGGCATAATTTCTCATTTAGAACTTTAGAACTAACAGTTACCTCCCCTGAAATTTCTGATATGATTTATTCATGGACCACTAGTAACAACACTCTAGCTTCTGATCATTTCCCACATCTTAACTTTTCATTTAAACCAAATAATCTAAACCAAACAGAATAAAAAAGAAGACCTCCAAATGGATTTTACTTCAGGAAACTGAAATGAATTCTGAAATTTCTGTACAGAAATAGACACAGAAACATCTAAAAATATCACGGCAGACATCAAAAAATGGGTGATAGACAGCCATCTTTAATTTTCAGAATTGAAGTTTCCTGCTATTTCCAAAAGATATTTTGAATAGATCTTTTTCAAAGAAGATGTTGTATATGATAGGGTGCTTTAAAACAGCCCTACGCTAAATCAAACATAATGTCCCTCTCACCATTAACTTATCTTAAACCAGCAAATTGACCACTTTCACAAACATAATTACCTTTAAATTTTCTACATAATAATTGGCTTTCTATGAAGATATTATATTTTTAGCAGCTATTAATTAGTTCCGAGAGCCCATATATGCTCCATCTGATCCCAAAAAGAAGCTTCCGCTAGAAAAATGAAGCTGTAGCTGAATAGAGTAAAAAAATAGCAAAAAAACATTTACGTGAGTCTTAACTGTCTAAGAGGTCGAAGGCAATCTGGACAAAGATCTGAGTAAGATTCCGAATATTTAAAGACAATTACATGTGGTACCAACCAAATGAAACAAGCACCAAGCTATCTTTTAGAACACCTGACAGAAGCAGGAGCCCATGAAATCATGGTTCATCGACAACCCCCTGGCCTTATACAGTACCAAATCCGTTCACGACATAAATCGCAAACAAAATACAATATATGGATAAAATATTGTTTGAGAGATGACCTACATCCAATCACAGCGTATCACTGCACCTGCCCAGTAGGTCAGAGGATAGTCGTTATGTGTTCACACACAGCCAGTTTTTTTTCAATCACCAATCACCAGACTTTCAAATAAAACAAATCATGCATCATATAATCGTAGACAGCGACTTTGCCCACGTCCAGACACAATAACCAAGTTTCCCTTGAGTGACCCATAGTACAGTACAGCTGAGGTGATTTTCCTCTCAAACCCTGTAATGACGAGCAACGGGCGAGCGGAAGGTATTAAAACCATCCCGCGATCCCGTGACATACTGTATTTCTAGATATCTTTCTAAAAACTAAATGTTATTTGTAAGCAAATGTTTCTAAATCGTGCCACACAACGATACACGTACTTTATTTTATACGTCATATTATTTCAATTTAGATACATGTAAGGTAAAAGGTTCGGCCGACCAGATGATGAAAACTAGACATCTAAAACGATAATCGGGTAATTAAAATTAAAAAATAAGTTGTAAGCTTGTAATACTGGGTACATTTCCATCACGCCTACACGAAGATTTTAATTTAATCGTCTGCATAAACTAATATTTAATCGTCATTCTATCCTTACTTGCACCTGTAATCTACATATTTTAGAAATTGTTTTCATTCTCTGTATGTTCTATTTGACTTGAGGTATGTATGTGTTGACGCCGGAAATGTATTTAAAAAGTTGTAAAAAATAGATATGGACAGACACGTAACACTCTCTGTGTTATATACGTGTCAGATATTGATATGTTGACTCTTGCTTCAGGTAAAAATCGATTACGTGTAGTCAAGCCGAAACCAAATACTCAGATTGAAAATTTGTTTCAGATTAACGTCAGATTTATATAAAGACAAAGTTACAACTACACACTTGTTTTAATTGAACTTATAATCTTATTTAAATGGCAATATGTCATATATATTGTAAGATAGTGATTGCTTACTTCGCCAATTTTGATATTGAACTCCAACCTATTTAGAAGCTAAAGGTAAACATTTCCGCGCTTTCATGGAACCTTGTGTAATAACACTACTAAATATAACGTTTTTTGGTGTCTGTTAGCGTTAACCGATAAAAGGTGCTCTGAAATTAAACTACCCAAACTGGATGTTCGCATTTTTCTACGGTAGAAAGTTTGATTGTTTGTTTATTGTTGAGCGAATAGGATAGAGGATGTACGGCGACATGTCTGCCTATATTAAAGATAAATTTGGACTCGTCTGTAATCGTCATAAGAATTTGGGAAAGGTGCAGCATTAAATCACGTGTTTACCTACGTTACAGATAAATTTGGACTCGCCTGTAATCGTCATAAGAATTTGGGGAAGTTGCAGCATGAAATCACGTGATTTCAAACGAACGACTGTTATTCTCTAAAAACATGTTTATTTCATAGGTAGGCAAACGGGTGGTTTTACTTTTTATCATATCTGTAGTTAATCTGATATTCTTTCATTATATAGTTAGCAACCGTAGTGATCAAATTTCATGACTCCCATAGCAAAACAATAATTATTGATTTTAAAAAATATAGTTTGTGAAATATCCCTGACGATTATCAAGGTGTTTCTGTTAATATTATACCAAAATTGTACCGACAATACTCATTGCCAGAATCCTTCCTCTGCACTGTGATCTTTCGTTGCTTGAAAAGCGACATTTGACGGGAAACAAATAGTCCCCCTCCATTCATATGACAAGTTTAGTGTATTTTTCAAAATATTTGAAAATTCATTAAGCGTAACCAAAATGTTTTTCGTTCTCATTCAAAACTTTTTGTTAAAAGTTAATCAGATAAGCTTTGACGACTGCTTAATAACGCATAAAAGATATTTGTAGATATTTCTGTAAATCAGAATATCCGCCGTTCTTTGTAATGTAGATTTATTCTAAATAGGCTTCAGTTGTCAATTTTTTTATAAGATATTTCAGCATTTGTTGAAGTGTAAGTCCCTCCTTTTATTTTATTTCAACATATCAGGTATAATCATTAAGATATTCTAATTAAAACAACGTGTAGACTGTAGCTATGACAAGATGAATTATATTTAATCTGTATTGGATATTAAATGTTAGATAGGACAGGATGGAACCTGTAACGAATGCAAAAATACAGAAAGTAGTAACATGTTATACATTGTTTTTCAATAAATAATTCGAGAACTAGATAGATATTAAGACATATTTTCTACTTACTTATCCCTAAGGTCAAATTACATTACACTGGAAAAAACTACACCAAGTTCCAAAAGGTCAAATTACATTACACTGGAAAAAACTACACCAAGTTCCAAAAGGTCAAATTACATTACACTGGAAAAAACTACACCAAGTTCCAAATGTGACATTTGATTCTATTGTTCAGACAATCTAGAACTAGAGAAAGTTTTATAGTGTTATTGATTCATGCCTTTGTTACTCTGAAGTTCGCTTCAAAGATGGATGACTTGATAAAAATACGGCCGTCAATATTCCAAGATCAGGGTTGACAAAACGATAAAAATGGGACGCAATGAATCCAATGACTAACATTAATATCCATGTAACTGTGATCATTCCACTTTATCATATAGTCATTTTGTTATCAGGATATTAATTCGTGACATTGAATGTGAACATAAAACTTGGCAATTCGAAACCTCAAATTAGCAATGATGCTGTTTTAAATTTCTCTACATTGACACGTCCTAAGTTTGGTATTAAGTCACATCTAATTGCAATTCAATTCAAATCCAAAATGAAAAAATACCGTCGCCATTTCTCATACATACATAAGGTAAGCGCCAGATATTGCCGAAGCCAACCGGATAACAAAGAATGCTTAAAACATACCTTCTGTTCCATTGCTCTTTTCGGGTGTTTTCTGTTTTTGCCGTGTGCATTGTCGGCCCTTTTTTCACTGTCATTTATGTATCAGTTGGTAGACTATAATAGGTGATAGTAGGAACTTACCACTGACCATATCAACTAATAAAATTCTGCCTCACCTGTTGAACCTTGCTGTTATACAAGGAGGAAAGGAATATCTTAAGTGTCGTTGAAGCTTATACAATTAACTAAACAGAACCATCAACATGAATAACAAACTTCTGGACTTGAAAACACAATAGCATGTGTTTTTCACTGAAAGACGTTATAGCCAACTTGATAGTAAATCTACAATTATTTCCATGCATTACAAATTGCAAGTTATATAAGCTTACCCGAAAATAATTTACTTATACCATGCTATCTAAATTTATATAGATTACTTACAATAATGCCTATTTCAACTCAAGAAATAAGTAGAATGAGATAAGACCAGGTGTTTCGGAAGAGTAAGCGTCTTCTACTTCATTGACAACATCCGCCATCTAAATTTATGTTAATCCATCTTATTAGTATCACGGTTACAAATGATAACAAGGTACACAATAATGGAGTCAACAGGCTAACTAACGAGCATCAAACACGCCAAGCTTTATATCCCAAAACGATACGAAATATTTTACATGAGATCACTATGACGAACATAAAACTTATCCATAATTTTCATCAACGTGCATATTTGAAATCCTGTGTAACGCAGTTTGTCCGTCAGTTGATGACCTTTTGCATGAAAATCGTGATAACACGAACAGGCCCTTAAATATCGAATCAGCTGTGGCATGTAAGCACCGTAGATTGAGAATCAGGAATATTGCTATCCAGAAATAAAAATAAAATCGCAATAGAGAAATTAGAGTTGTCAGGTTTATCATACAACTTGGTAGAAAAAAGTGTCTGTATTTATTTCGTTATAGAAAAGCGATAAGCAGGTGATGTAAAAGAGTCTATCGTGCCCTTGATCTAAAGGATGAACTTGGTCAACATATTTTTTGTTATTTAAGGACAAAACGTCGTTAATGCATCTGAAAATCAAACGACTTCGCAAGGTCTTGATGACCTGTTTTGATAAGCCATTCGATAAATTCAGCAACGTATGAAAACAAAAATAAGTCAGCCAACAGAGGGACACAGTTGGTTCCCTTCGGAATGCCAATAGATTGCTGGAAGATCTTACCAGCAACCTCGACGATTACGTTGTTAACGAGAAACTCATTTTTGATGATTACATCCTCCGTATATTTCTCAGTTTAAGAAAAGTTTACTCCTGAAAAAGTACAAGAATAAGACTCCGGAAGAGTGAGCGCCTTATGCTTCATCAATGTCACCAGACATTTTAAACCTGGTCAATCCAAGTAAGTAATGTCACGTCCTCGAATGAGAACATGTAAACACCCTAGATTGGGAATCAGGGATATTGCTATCCAACAATGGAAAATTAGCAATAGGGAAATTGAAATCATCACTTTTATCATACACTTTGGTTAATATTGTTCATGTTGGTTTCTCTGTAGGAAAAGATCGAGATTCATGATATCTTTCTTTGGGAAAGAGTTGAAATAAGTTTGTACTTGACTGTGTCCAATCACGTTTCTTTATATTACTGCCATAAATAAATGTTGAAAAAACCTTTTTTGTTTATTGTTACAACTTTGCACAATCGTCATCACTAGAATCAGCTCTGGTAAAGTCCGCAATCAAATTCCTGAAAAGAAAATAATGATAAACTAATTTCATTCCTTAAATGCACATTGACTGAACCGGTAACTGATTTTTAAATATGACTGTTATAGCATTTTAACAAGATATTAATTAATATCGACAATATTGATAGAAATAAGTACATGTTAATATGGAACGGATATTGTGTATATCAACGGTTGTAGTGTCATCTCAACATATGTAAACGATTGTAGTGTCATCTCTACATATTTAAACGATTTTAGTGTCATCTCTACATATTTAACCGATTATAGTTCCTCTCTACATATGGAAACGATTGTAGTGTCGACTCTACATATCTAAACGATTGTAGTGTCATATCTACATAACTAAGCGATTGTAGTGTCATTCCTATATATTTAAGCGATTGTAGTGTCATCATCTCTACATATTCAAACGATTGTAGTGTCATATCTACATTTTTAAACGATTGTAGTGTAATCTCCTCACATGTTAACGATTGTAGTGTCATCTCAACATATGTAAACGATTGTAGTGTCATCTCTATATATTTAAACGATTTTAGTGTCATCTCTACATATTTAAGCGATTGTAGTGTCATCTTTACATATCTAAACGATTGTAGTGTCATCTCTACACATATTAAAGATTGTAGTGTCATCTCTATATATTTAAACGATTGTAGTGTCATATCTTTATATTTAAACGATTGTAGTGTCATATCTTTATATTTAAACGATTGTAGTGTCATCTCTACACATGTTAACGTTTATATTGTCATCTCAACATATGTAAACGATTGTAGTGTCATCTATATCAATTTAAACGATTATAGTGTCGTCTCAACATATGTAAACGATTTTAATGTCATTTCTATATATCTAAACGATTTTAGTGTCATCTCTACATATTTAAGCGATTGTAGTGTCATCTTTACATATTAAAAAGATTGTAGTGTCATCTATATATATATATATATATATATATATATAAACGATTGTAGTGTCATCTCTACACATATAACGTTTGATTGTCAACATATGTAAACGATTGTAGTGTCATCTATATATATTCTACACATAATTAACGTTTGTCATCTCTACATTTTTATTGTCATCTCAACATATGTAAACGATTGTAGTGTCATCTATATATATTTAAACGATTATAGTGTCATCTCTACATAATTAAACGATTGTAGTGTCATCTCTACATTTTTAAACGATTGTAGTGTCATCTCTACATATTTAAACGATTGTAGTGTCATCTCTACACATGTTAACGATTGTAGTGTCATCTCAACATATGTAAACGATTGTAGTTTCATCTATATATATTTAAACGATTGTAGTGTCATCTCTACATATTTAACGATTGTAGTGTCATCTCTACATAATTAAACGATTGTAGTGTCATCTCTACATTTTTAAACGATTGTAGTGTCATCTCAACATATGTAAACGATTGTAGTTTCATCTATATATATTTAAACGATTGTAGTGTCATCTCTACATATTTAACGATTGTAGTGTCATCTCTACATAATTAAACGATTGTAGTGTCATCTCTACATTTTTAAACGATTGTAGTGTCATCTCTACATATTTAAACGATTGTAGTGTCATCTCTACACATGTTAACGATTGTAGTGTCATCTCAACATATGTAAACGATTGTAGTTTCATCTATATATATTTAAACGATTGTAGTGTCATCTCTACATATTTAACGATTGTAGTGTCATCTCTACATAATTAAACGATTGTAGTGTCATCTCTACATTTTTAAACGATTGTAGTGTCATCTCAACATATGTAAACGATTGTAGTTTCATCTATATATATTTAAACGATTGTAGTGTCATCTCTACATATTTAACGATTGTAGTGTCATCTCTACATAATTAAACGATTGTAGTGTCATCTCTACATTTTTAAACGATTGTAGTGTCATCTCTACATATTTAAACGATTGTAGTGTCATCTCTACACATGTTAACGTTTGTATTGTCATCTCAACATATGTAAACGATTGTAGTGTCATCTATATATATTTAAACGATTATAGTGTCATCTCAACATATGTAAACGATTGTAGTTTCATCTCTATATATATAAACGAGTGAAGTGTCATCTCAACATATGTAAACGATTGTAGTGTCATCTATATATATTTAAACGATTGTAGTGTCATCTCTACATATGTAAACGATTGTAGTGTCATCTATATATATATAAACGAGTGAAGTGTCATCTCAACATATGTAAACGATTGTAGTGTCATCTATATATATTTAAACGATTGTAGTGTCATCTCTACATATTTAAGCGATTGTAGTGTCATCTTTACATATTTAAACGATTTTAGTGTCATTTCTACATATTTAAGCGATTGTTGTGTCATCTTTACATTTCTAAACGATTGTAGTGTCATCTCTACACATATTAACGATTGTAGTGTCATCATCTATATATTTAAACGATTGTAGTGTCATCTCAACATATGTAAACGATTGTAGTGTCATATCTTTATATTTAAACGATTGTAGTGTCATCTCTACACATATTAACGATTGTAGTGTCATCTCTACACATGATAACGTTTGTATTGTCATCTCAACATATGTAAACGATTGTAGTGTCATCTATATATATTTAAACGATTATAGTGTCATCTCAACATATGTAAACGATTGTAGTGTCATCTTTATATGTATAAACGATTGTAGTGTCATCTCAACATATGTAAACGATTGTAGTGTCATCTCTACATATTTAACGATTGTAGTGTCATCTCTACATAATTAAACGATTGTAGTGTCATCTCTACATTTTTAAACGATTGTAGTGTCATCTCAACATATGTAAACGATTGTAGTTTCATCTATATATATTTAAACGATTGTAGTGTCATCTCTACATATTTAACGATTGTAGTGTCATCTCTACATAATTAAACGATTGTAGTGTCATCTCTACATTTTTAAACGATTGTAGTGTCATCTCTACATATTTAAACGATTGTAGTGTCATCTCTACACATGTTAACGATTGTAGTGTCATCTCAACATATGTAAACGATTGTAGTGTCATCTCTACACATGTTAACGTTTGTATTGTCATCTCAACATATGTAAACGATTGTAGTGTCATCTATATATATTTAAACGATTATAGTGTCATCTCAACATATGTAAACGATTGTAGTGTCATCTCTATATATATAAACGAATGAAGTGTCATCTCAACATATGTAAACGATTGTAGTGTCATCTATATATATTTAAACGATTGTAGTGTCATCTCTACATATGTAAACGATTGTAGTGTCATCTATATATATATATAAACGAGTGAAGTGTCATCTCAACATATGTAAACGATTGTAGTGTCATCTATATATATTTAAACGATTGTAGTGTCATCTCTACATATTTAAGCGATTGTAGTGTCATCTTTACATATTTAAACGATTTTAGTGTCATTTCTACATATTTAAGCGATTGTTGTGTCATCTTTACATTTCTAAACGATTGTAGTGTCATCTCTACACATATTAACGATTGTAGTGTCATCATCTATATATTTAAACGATTGTAGTGTCATCTCAACATATGTAAACGATTGTAGTGTCATATCTTTATATTTAAACGATTGTAGTGTCATCTCTACACATATTAACGATTGTAGTGTCATCTCTACACATGATAACGTTTGTATTGTCATCTCAACATATGTAAACGATTGTAGTGTCATCTATATATATTTAAACGATTATAGTGTCATCTCAACATATGTAAACGATTGTAGTGTCATCTATATATATTTAAACGATTATAGTGTCATCTCAACATATGTAAACGATTTTAGTGTCATCTCTACATATTTAAGCGATTGTAGTGTCATATTTATATGTATAAACGATTGTAGTGTCATCTCAACATATGTAAACGATTGTAGTGTCATCTATATATATTTAAACGATTATAGTGTCATCTATATATATTTAAACGATTGTAGTGTCTTCTCTACATAATTAAACGATTGTAGTTCATCTCTATATATCTAAACAAAAATGAAGATTTGGCGTGATGAACTTATCCATTGTAATGTCGCTTAAAATGTCTAACTCAGGCTTACTATTTCTATAAAGAGAATTGAATGGCATACCATGTGCAACTTGAACAAAAGTAATACAGTTTTGGACGTGGCATTTTATTGAAGTTGGTTGAGAGGCAGAAAGCGTAGGCTCCTGTGTATTTGATATACATCCACTCTCCGACCTCCATTAGTGGCAGGGAAACATCTGTTGTTAGGTAATCCAACGAGTCGCATGTTGGTCCCCATACAATGCTGCTGTACTTTTCTGCATTGGCCTGTATGACATCAACAAAGAATTGAACTTTTTGTTTTGGCATCCCTTTCACTAGTGTTAAATATATTATTCCAAATACACCATTTGAAGCTTTGGCTCACCTATAAAACCATTAGGAAAGAATAGAAAACTATTGTATCAGTTTTACATCTTTCAGACACAATCATACAGATACGATTATACGGATACTATTATATCGATACGATTTGACAGATACAAGTATCCAGATACGATTATACAGATACCAATATATAGATACAATTGTACCTATAACATTATACAAATACCATTATACACAGATGCCATTATACTTATACGATTATCCAGATACCATTTTATAAATATTATTATAGATACCATAATACAGGTGGCATTATACAGATACGATTATACAGATGCCATTAAACAAATATCGTTATATAGATATCATTATACAGATGTCATTATACAGATGCCATTATACAGATACGATTATACAGATGTCATTATATAGATAACATACAGATGGCATTATACAGATACGATAATACAGATGCCATTATATAGATACCATTATACAGATATCATTACACAGATACGATTACACAGATGTCATTATATAGATACCATTTTACAGATGTCATTATACAGATGTCATTATACAGATGCCATTATACAGATACTATTTTACAGATATGATTATACAGATGTCATTATATAGATACCATTATACAAATACTGTTTTACAAATACCATTATACAAATGACATTATACAGATACGATTATACAGATGTCATTATGTAGATACCATTTTACAGATGGCATTATACAGATACGATTATACAGATGTCATTATACAGATACGATTATACAGATGTCGTTATATAGATACCATTTTACAGATGGCATTATACAGATACGATAATACAGATGTTATTATACAGATACGATTATACAGATGTCATTATACAGATACGATTATACAGATGCCATTATATAGATACCATTACACAGATACGATAATACAGATGTCATTATATAGATACCATTTTACAGATGGCATTATACAGATACGATAATACAGATGCCATTATATAGATACCATTACACAGATACGATTATATATATGTCATTATATAGATACCATTTTACAGATGGCATTATACAGATACGATAATACAGATGTCATTATACAGATACCATTATACAGATGTCATTACACAGATACGATTATACAGATGTCATTATATAGATACCATTATACAGATGGCAATATACAGATACGATAATACAGATGCCATTATATAGATACCATTATACAGATGTCATTATACACATACGATTATACAGATGCCATTAAACAAATATCGTTATATAGATATCATTATATAGATATCATTATACAGATACTATTTCACAGATTCGATACTGATGACAATTTGAATTGTGAAGGTACATCGAAAATGACGATCTTGATATGGTGTGTTTATTAAGGATTGTCATCTCAACACTGGGATGTGATATGTCATTCCCCACCATTAGATAACAATTTCTCGTTGTGGGCACCATGTTGAAGACATTGAAGAATCCAAATTTTCTTAAGCTCGACCACCATGGGGCTCTCAATTACATTTGGTCAATTTCTATATTTTTGTGAGATAGAAAATTACAACAGTAAACAAGAACTCTTCCTGTCAATGAAAATTTTCCTTATTGTTATCTCAACAACAGGGTGTGATATGACAGTCCCAACATTATATGACAAGAACTCTTCATGTCAATGAAAATTTTCCTTATTGTTATCTCAACAACAGGGTGTGATATGACAGTCCCACCATTATATGACAAGAACTCTTTCTGTCAAAGAAAAGTTTCCTTATTTTTACTGATATTGTCATAACATATATTTTGTTGTTAAGGTTTTTGTTGAATCCAGTTATGAAAATGTCGCTACAGTTATCAATTAATCGAGGCAAGGTATATAATTACTAACATTGTGATTGACCGTTGATGCTATAAAGGTCTCTGTGACTTCTCTTGCCCAAGAAAAAGACCCATATAGTCCATCGTTGATATAGTACATCACGTTTTCTATGCTGTGTTCGTCTGAAATAATATTCGGTTAAAATCAGGAAAATATATAACAAGTGAAATAATTCAGATACAATAATATTCTAAATACTGTGAACTTACATAATTGGATTGTGAAAGAAACTACATTGATGCTTTGATAGGCATGGAAGCTGCATTAGTAAATTCAATGAAGAATACGCCACTTCTTTGCAATACAAAAAAGAACTTTGGACACCAATTTTCACATTCGTACCTCTAATAAGACTTAACAGTTGATAGAATTTGCAAAACGCCACCCCTCCCGATGGCTACTTGACTGATTTACGAGACAAGGCACCTGAGTGCCTTAGTGGTCTGAGTTTGAATAAAAGTTGGCAATAACCTGGCTGACTGATTTGTGTCTTGCGATAATCGACCCCTAGAATGCTAGAACAACTTGATATGGATCAGCCAGAAAGTCTGTTTATTTCCAACTTTTTTAAGTATTACTAATTAGTACATTCTCATTTTGTGAACATGATATGGGTTCTGACGTGAATACGTATCGATGTTTTGTTAAGGAAATTACAAACAACTTTTCTAATACTAATACCAAGCGACCACTAATTTCTGAATGAAGACGTTCTCCCAAAATATTGCCTATAACGTCAGTCTATAATTGTACAATGCTCACAGAAATGTATCATATTATGCGGAAAGATGGCAGTCCCAAATTTGTTTTCTGTCGGTTGTTGTGTTAGGCTTGGCATACGTGCATTAATCATTTTGAAAAAAGTGCAATTCGCGATGAATGATGATGAAGAGACATGACAAAAAGGCTTATCAAGAAATTTACAAGTTCATGAATGGACGTTTGTCATTTTGATAACCGAACTCAATGATCCAAAATCGATCGGAAATATCTGACCTCAGCAATTTCACAAATAAAAAAGAACGTGTATAAGTGTCACATCGCCCACGTCTCTTATTTGTGGTTTCAACAGTTTCAAAATTTAAAAAGCTTATAAACAATGTGTATGAATTAGGTAATACAAACCCGTGGAATATCCTTTGAAATGATGATTTCAAGACACCTAGTTATATTCCTTGTTAAAACATTCAATCTGTCCATCAACGTTTATTATGTATTTAAAGGATTAAAACGTTATGTTTCTATAAACATACAAAGTTGATACAAGTGACGCGAAGATTCTGCTGGAAAATAGAGTATCAAAGATTTAGCCATTTGGAAAATAGTCTTAGCTAACTAGAGTCAAATTAATTAAGCTTGTCAAAAGGCAGATGAGACTGTAAAATTGGAAAATAAACACACTAATAAGTCTTTGGTAACTGAGCTACAGACAATTCTGTTGATGTAAGCATCTACTCCTGAATCATAACGTTTCATCCACAAGGAGTAGAAGCATACTGTCTATATGTAATATAAACCGATGAAACGGAAAGCGCAAAAATGCGTGATAAAAAAAAATATAAAACAAATATCTTGAAGAAAAGTTTCGTTAAGATTTGTGAAATTGTTTAAAGAAGTGGCTGTAACTATCCTTTACCTGTGGTCAGTGCACCATTCCATACTCGTTACGTAATACATGTAGTTAGTTATATAGTTATACACCAAACATAATACTTAGCTACAACTGGAATCTAACTGCATTAACGTCCTTGAAAAGGAAATATATGGTTACGTATGACATCCAATACTTCTACTTGTATTTCAAAATATACAATAGAATCATTTGAATTATCAAGCATTAACATTTAACTATTAGATTTTTTAGATAAATGCAACTACTGTTTGTTGTATTTTCCTTTACTATTTGTCTTGGAATAAGATGTAATGGATATAAAGAGCACAAGAAGCTTGGTTATGAACGGCCAGATCGAACCGAGTTTCTTTATAATTAAATAAAAAAATATGATATACTTAATAACATTGATTATAATCACGGAATAAAAGACAAATATTTCCATCATGTCGCTTTATGGACAAGCAATTGTGTGACATGTGTATAAGTGTATCCGTGTTCGGAAATATATTAAAATTGTTTACAAGGAGAAATAAACCCCAGCAGGTCACTTCTGACACCATAATGTCACTTGCATTCGCAGCTGATTAACGTTTTACCTGGCGTCAGTTGCTACGATGAAGGCCTGAAATAGCTACAGTGTACCTTGTGGTATAATAAGTCGCTCGTTTCGTTTGACACATACACGATTTGCCTTTTTACAAGAGGTTACCGCTCTAAGCTATTTTGTTGTTTAAAGAATTTTGATTTTCACTAACAGTTTTGTCTACTTACTAAAATCATCCAATAATATCATACGTTGTTTCCTTCAAAGTCATTACAATTAAATCCGTATATACATAACATTTGTCTTTATTGATCCATCTATTTTTCTTTATTTATTAATTTTTTTCAAGCTTTATAAATTTCCATGGGTACCGCTAAATGCGAAATGTATCACATTATGTCCTTTAACAGTCATAAGATATTTGATTTATCAAGTAAAGTCGGACTTGATGTTAATGTAAGATAAAACCAAGTGGAAAGGTTAGCAGTAGGTGATAATAGTAAACAGGACCGCAATTACTTTGTTATATTGACGTATGAAACAAACAAAATTTAGAATTATTCAAAAAAAAAAAAAAAAGATATTGTACAGTTGGTAACATTTGCGAGGAACATAATTCTAATAAATTTGCGGTCACCAAAAATTGAACACCCATAGCCAACATAAATGTAAAACAAACTATCAAGAGATATATGTTCCTCGCAAATGTTACATGTATAGCAATGCAGAGACATGAATGAAATTTAACCCTCGATAAATCAATAACTATACGAGACAGAAATAGATTTACAAAATCCACAATCGTCACCGGCAATTAAGTGTGAGTGCCCCAATTGTATTGTCTGAAGCTAAGAGACCAAAATCTCAAAATTCTACTGCACAGATTATTTACTTCTGCAAAAAGTCGTCGATAAGCGATACAAACACTCTTAACTGTATTTCGTACATACCATTGTCATACACAAGCTTTCTTCCAATGATTTTTGCTGCTGCACTGACAGCCGATTCTACAAGGTAGCGTCCTGGTTCAGCGATGATTTTCACTCCGTCTGTGGTCGGGAAATACTTGTCCAGAGAGTGATTGATAATGTCCGCATTCTTAATGTAAAGAAATTATATATATATATATATACAGTTACAAATTGGACTCTTAATGCAACAATAGACAAAAGTTAAAAGCATTTTTTCAAATTTATACCATCGAAATTCTTCTTCATTCGCTTTGTTTTTAAAAAATGGTTGGAATAAACTCATCAAATTACGCAAACTATGCTTGAGAACTTATTTTTATATCATTTGCTTCAGATAATGGTTACGAAAACATTTGCACAGAAAAGGTTCAGGAGATTGTATATGAAGTAATGTTACCAGCTTCCAATATACTGCAAAACACGCAATAGTGATAGAAATCCAGAACGCAGTTTTCGAATACACAATATCCATTGGTTACGGACAAATGATACCAGCAAAACGTGCAAAACTAGATACACACGAAAAAAAATCATGAGAGCTAAATATACGTATTACATGATGCTAGGGACTGAATGTCTGGAGATCGACAGTGACTGTCTGAAAATTGCGTAACATTTTCATTTGATACATGAATATATTTATGCCATTCGTCATTACACATGACCTTGTCACCAAAATATAATAAAGATAGCAAATGGACATAGTTACACTTTTACGTAAAAGCCAAAAGATGCGAGATTTAGTTCAAAGGTCAGAAAACCTTCAATCGATAGCCACCTCACTAAATCAATGTAAAATAACAATACCAACTATTGTCTTTAATTTTCTTTTCAGATGAAAAAAGTTACTTTCAAACCATACCTCTTCTATAGTCGGCCGGTCAACATCTCTACCTCTGTAGCCTCCTCCGATGTCAAGAATCTCCATAGAAAAGCCTAACTGAATTCCTATATCAAATATCTCCCGTGCTTCTTTGATAGACGTCGAAAACGCATCGGCACTGAGACAGTTGCTTCCAACATGGAAACTTCAAACAATATACACATTATTCTCTGACTATCTTTAGACCTGAGAAATCTGTAACTATCAAGGTTTTGTCATTTTCTTTTGTTTTCATCAATAAAGCTTACATATTAACAATTCAACGTCAAGTATAGCATACAAACAGTTATTAGATATGGATTTGACGTGTATACAGCAAAAACTCATGGAAATCTGCCTCCTAATAGGAAAACCGGCAAATGTCGATACATTCATGATGTCATCACTGCAGTGGTGATGTAAGATTTACATTCTTCTGTACATTGGATTTCAATGTATTTTTTTGTTATTGTGATGCTACTATTGATGATATATTATGTCATTTACCTCACACCAATGACGTCCAAACCTTTATTCTTTGCCAATAAAAACAACCTCCTTGCCTCTTCCAAGACACACCCAAATTTCTTCGATAAATCATACATGGCTTCATACATCTGTTTTGGTTTAAATCGCAAAATCAACCTACAACGTATCGAATCGATTTATTACAAATAGATCATACAAATGACAAATAAGATTTTTTTTTCAAAATATACAAGATTTACCTTACTGAATGTCAGTTTGCCATGCAACAGAAGTATGTTTTCTGTATTTTATAAGTTCAAACTGGCCGTAAGATAACCGTAGCGATAAAGTCATTATTGTACGTTATCAAACATGGTATACTACTTTCATCTTTCTTTGAACTGTTTTCATGACTTCATGTAAATATATCAATAGTTACTTATTTTTAAAAAATCTTTTTGTCATTTAAAACTTTAGACTATTTCTGGTGTAAAAAAACTGAAAACGTACAATAGCATGTTCATTACTAACGTACAGTATTGTTAATGTACTCGTTGTGTCAATTGTAGCTGAAGGTATTTCTGTTTATGGCTTCCTATGTAAATTTGAATTTAAACATTTCGCTGCCCATTCCATAAAACCTTACTGGTAGCGGCACTACCAATGTATAGAATGTCCCACCTTGCTGATCCATACATCATCTTGATTTTGATCAATTCCTCCTCACTATCAAAGGTCATCAGGTCAACATTGTGCTCTTTGGCGTAGGAAAGATGCGAGTTTTGTTTGAATGGATTGGCGAAGATGATACGAGACGGATCAACTCCTAAATCTAACACCTGCTGTATCTCATCCTTTTTAGTAAAACAAAAAGCGGCACTAACAAACGGAAATAATTGTAATGAATGTGTAGTATGGGGAAGAGAAAATGATATTTGTTTTGCACAGGGACAGGGGTATTTCTCTGTCTTAAGATCTTTCCATCCATAAAGAGTATTTGATTCTATGATATTTGGGGATGATCGAAAAGAAGAATTTTAAATTGGCCCCGCCCCTCTTGAGGGGGACCATATCATTTCCAATTTTGGGGTTCACTTTTGGCCATGGAAAGTTTCTGCAAAGTTTCATTAAAATCGGTTAAGGGGTTTTTCAGAAGAAATTAAATTCTTTTTTAAAAAGTTTATGAACGCATGACAGTCGACGAACGCCAGACAAGAGGATATCGAAGTAGGCCAACATGTGACTTTGTCACAATTGACCTAAAAATGGAGGATACGATGATGAATGTAACGAGGATATTTAAAATGTGTTTGGTGATAATTAGTCGTGCAATTATTACATAAGAAATGTAGATCATTCACACACATCAAAATGTCAATAAATTGAAGAACTACATACCTTGCTCGCACAGTCAAAGCTACTTCCAAGCCTTACAAGAACATCAACGATCTTGTCATCATCGTTGCACTTCAGTGCTTTGAATTTCAAAAGTAAAACATGTTTATGATAATTTAGAGTTGATGAAAAGTTATGATATCGCATGATTAAAATGGAGCAACGACGACAATTTAATTGCACTCGGTCATAGGCATTTAAAAACATCCCTTGCAAATGTCAATTCTGAGAAAAGAGTTGTAATGACATCAAAGGCAGGACTTTTTTTCTCTCTAATTTTTTATTTCCATTAGCAATTCATACAGTACAATGTATTACAGATATTTGTATTTCCCATTCACAACACTTGTCTTTATCATAATACCTATTACACATAATATTTCAGTACCTGGTTCAGAAATATGATTTATATATATATATATATTTTCATATATCATTACTTCAGGGCACATGTGTAAAAACACATTTAATTTGCTCTGAAACAGAATCAGCACCTAGGCTATAACATAGTTGACAAACATTTATAACTGTATTTTTAATGCATGTAACAACTGATAGAATCTGAAATCTTCTCTATTTGTCCTTATTATCATATCTATTCTGTCTCTCAACTCATTTCTTATCTTACCAATTAGAGATAGTGGATTTTGTATTTCATTTTCAAATTTCTTTGAATTTCTGGCCTTCCAGATTAACCACTTAGAATGAAAAATTACAATGTTACAGAGTTTGTTGATGTTCTCTGGATATTCTGATATACCAAAAATCCTTTCTTTATCAGTAAAAACAATATACTGATAATCTACTGAAACATTAAAGAGACACTCATTCAATAACCTTTCAATTTGTAGCCATACCTCTTCACTCAATCTGCACTCACTAAAAAGATGTTGTTGTGTTTCTTGTTCTTCCTTACAAAAATTACAAAGACCATTTGATTTCTTCATTTCTTTCAATTTGTGTTCAGTGGTTATAATTCTGTGTATACTTCTCCACTGAAAATCTTTTACTTTTTTTTCTAGTCTACTGCTGTTTAATGAATGCCGAACTGCTTTCCACTCTAGATTGTAGTCTGTATCCCATTTCTGAATAGATTTTATCTGATTTGCTGTTTGAAACAATACATTTTTAATAGCTTTATTAAATATTTTATTTAGTGCCAGCAAATTTTTACCATAAATGAAATATAAATCTTCTGTGATTTTGAATTTAGCTCTATTGTTTCCATTGTTATTTTGTAGCATATTTTTCCATTCCAAAGAGAAGGCTTTTCTTATAATTGTATACTCTGATATCCAATTATTCTTTAATCTTAATTTTCTAAGTAATTCTCCTGATGTAATAAAGTCATGCTGTTCCGTATCCCAAATATCTTGAACCTTGGTAATCCCACTACTTGCCCACCCTTTATAAAATATAGGACTGTTTTTAAATAGTAGATTGTGGTTTCCAAATAAGTTCTGGTTGAGTACATCATCTGAAGTGGAAATGGAAGTGGTTCTCAGCAACTTTTGCCAATAGAACAGCCCTTCTAAATATATTTCTGAGATTTTGCTAATTTCTAAATTCTTAATGTTACTACATCTGCATAAAAAATAATTTGCATGATATACTGCATCATATTTTTGCAACATATTTTTCCCAATTGTGTTCCAAGATTGGATATCACAGTGAATAAGACGGTATATTAATTTAATTCTGTTTATTGCAATAATGACATCTAGGTCTACCATGTTCAAGCCTCCATCTTTCTTTTCTAGATAAACAGCTTCTTTTGAAACTTTGTTTATTTTACTTCCCCACAGAAATTCATAGATTAATATATTTATTCTACGCTTATATTCATTTGGTATTGTGTTTTGTGCTAATTCATATGTCAACTGTGAACACAACAGTGACTTAATTATAAGGGTTTTTCCTTCTAGTGTCAAATGTCTTGGTCTCCATGTTTTAATTATGCTTTCTATTTTTTTTATTTTATTTTCCCATACCCGTTTTTTATCTATATTGTACCCCATATAAATTCCTAGAACTTTAATGTTGTCTGTCACCCATGATATCTCCATGTAGTTTGGAGGTCGTTGCTTCCAACTACCAATATACATACCTTTTGTTTTCTTCTTATTGATACGTGCGCCTGAAGCTTTCTCGTAGCATTCAAGTACTTTAAAAAGATATTTAATGCAATTTTCTTTACTTAAAAATAGTTGAGAGTCGTCCGCGAACATGCTAATTTTAGTTTGTAACTTTACATCATTGACTATTGGTAGATCGATTCCAGTTATATTATTTTCTTTCCTTATTGAACATGCCATTGCCTCTGCCTGAATAATATATAATATTGGTGCTAAAGGGCACCCTTGTTTTACTGAACGAGATATTTTGAAGAATTTAGACAAGTGTCCATTTGTTAGAATACAACTTTTTGAAAATTTATAGGTCATATTTATATATTCTCTCATTGATTTTCCAAAATTGAACTTCTCTAGACATTTTTCTAACCAACCCCATTCCACTCTATCAAACGCTTTTTGTTGATCTAAGAAGATAATAATACCTCCCTTCTGCTCCATATCTGTGTAATCGACAATATCAGTTAATAATCGTATTGATTCTTCTATATTCCTGCCTTTAATGAACCCTCTCTGATCGCTATGTATAATAATTTGTAGTAATGGTTTTATTCTTTCTGCTATTAACTTGGCTATAATCTTATAATCAGTGTTAAGAAGGGTGATCGGTCGCCAGTTTGATATATCTTCCCTCTCCCCTTGCTTATACATTAATCTAATTATTCCTCTGTACTGGGAAGAAGACAAAACTTTAGAATTAAAAATTTCCACTATTACTTCAGTCAGTTGCTTTTTGATCATATGCCAAAAGAGTTGATAGAATTCAGAAATTATCCCATCACTCCCCGGTGCCTTACTTTTTTTCAGAGTTTTAATGACTTTTAAAATTTCTTCTTCAGTAGGAATTTTATCACAATCTAGTTTTTCTGCTTCTGTTAATCTTGCATCTACATTCATTAAAAGCTTCTCTGCTTCCTGTTCATTCCATCCCTCTGAAGTAAACAGTTTCTGATAAAATTTAACTTGTTCCTCCAGAATTTTTTCTATATCTGAACTGTAGAGACCGTTTTCACATTTCACTGTAGTCCATTGTTTATTTTGAGCCCTAGATTTTTCTAAATTAAAAAAGTAATTAGTAGATCTTTCACCTTCCTCATACCATTGCACTCTTGATCGAACTCTAGCTGCTTCTGCGAGACTATTGTAATATGATTGAATTTCTGCTGAGATATTAAACAATTCTGTTTCATCAAACTCCTTATCTGTGTCTTTTCTTCTGTGTATATCTACTAATTTTGATTCTAACTTTTTGATATGATTTTTGGGTTTATTTATGATATGACTGCTCATTATACTTAATTCCTGTACTTTGATTTTAGTTAATTCCCACCATTGAATTTTACTCTCATACTCATTTATATTATCTTTCCATTTTTCCCAAAAGTTCTTAAACAAATCTTTGAATATTTCAGATTTAATTACTTCTGAATTCATTTTCCAATATCCTTTTCCTATTTCTACTTCACTCAAGTTAAAAATTATTACCGGTGAGCCATAATGGTCATTCTCAGTAAAGGGACATAACTCTATATTAGAATATGTTACTAAATAATCTATTGATTTACTAGTTAAAAAATAATCAATTCTGGATTGTTTCCTGCCTCTTTTGAAAGTGTATGATTTAATTCCTGGGTGCCTACGTCTCCAAATATCTTCAACATCTATAGATTTGATCAGCTCTTTCAATTCATCCTGACCTGTCTCAGTCATTGAGGTGCAATTTTTCCTGTCTGATTTTATATTTTGTACGCAATTAAAATCCCCACCTACTATATGTTTGGTATTACTGAAAGGTACATCACTAAGTTTTTCACTCATATTTTTGAAAAAGTCTATTTTATCCTGTTCTTCATTGGGTGCGTACACATTTGTCAACCAGAAAACTTCAGTTTCAATTTTAATCTTTAGACAAATAAATCTTCCATTCACATCTGTAAGGCTTTCCATAGTCTTAATATTTAACCCTTTCCTTATGAAAATAGCAACTCCCCGTGATGATGAATTACCATTTGCCCAATAGGTTTTTCCATTCCACTCTTTGTCCCACTTAAATTGTACATTATTATCCTCACAGTGTGTTTCTTGTAAAAAAGCAATATCCATTTTTTGGGTTTCTCCGTTTTGCATTGTTATTCAACCCATTCAACTCGTTTTCACAGAGTTTTCACAAAACTATTTACACTGGTAATCACATGATTTATTTTGTCACTCTGAACACTTTTCCCTCGCTTAGGCAGGATGCTACACAGTGTAATCCTTGACCTTGGAAAATGAAATCTTATTTTCTCCACTGCTGTAGTAAAGTTAATGGTGATATTGTCAATGCTATTGCTTGAATTCTTGGTAACATCATTGGTTCCAAGATGGACCACCACATCCTCCACCACTGTACTGTTAATAGACGGGTCCTGTTCACAAAGTTGTAGAAGTTCTTCTACTTTGCCAACTGTAGCCCCTGATTTGGATACAATTTTCATGTTTGGATCTGATATATCCAACCGATTACAGTTGGAGGCACCAAGTATCACAGTTGTAATTCCTAGTATACTTCGAGTTTGTGATGACTCCTGTTGCAGAGTATCTATAGGTGTGAGGTCTAAGTTCCTGATATCGTTACTTGTTTCATGATAGTCACTGTTGTCAATAGATCTCACCTTTGTGCTATTTTCCTCAGACTGCAGTTCATTGTGGCCAGGTGCTAGCTGACCTTTGTTTCTCAGGTCTGGCTCTGGGCAATCCCGTACTAGGTGAGAAGTGCTCTTACACCTGTGACACTGCCTTGGTATTGCTGGTTTATTGGGGCACCGAAAAAAGGGGTGATCTGTCCCCGAACAAAAACGACACTCTGTCCTGTTATTATCCGCATATATCCTCACTGTATAATTCCCAAATTTTGTTTCATTTGGGATCACTGTTTTAGCATTAAGTAGTTGAATGTACCTAACTCCAGTTTCAATATCAGAGTCTTTGAGTGTTCCCCTCTGTAGACTCCCGGGTACTACCTCTCCAAACTGTAACATTAGTGTGTTAATAAATTGGTCACTTAATTCATATGGTGCGTCTTTGATTGTCACATTTGTTACATTCTTTTCCACATCTAAAACACGGAAGAGTCGATTTCTCACATTAATTCCCTTGATGATCATGTATCTTTTCTTATCTTTGCTGGACAAAGTTACAATGCATTCAGAGTTTGCTGTTGTCAGCTGTATACACTTCACACATCCCCTACCTAGGGCCTCTTCAATGCCTGCTAGTACTTCTTCATGGGTGACTCTATATAAATTCCTAGTGTAGAAATGTACACTGAATTCTCTGGAAACCTCTTGATTACTCATCCCCTCCTTCTCTCCTTAGGATAAGTGGCACTAATATTAAAGGTTTGCCAAAAATCAACGAGAAATTTTAGTGAAAAAAACACTAAAATTTGTATGAATTGTCTCTGCTGATTTTTTCCCTGTCTAGTGCCAACCAAGGGCAATAACTCTCTCTCAAAGGCAGGACTTATGTGATACATTGAAACATTTTTACTACAAAGATGCATTGTTTCGGTAACAATCACAAATATATGTGAGATGAAAAAAGAATTTCATAACGCCATAATAGGACTGTCATAAAACATATTTAGATATAGCTTAGTATAGCTGTTGACAGAACAAGATGTCGATCGAATAATTACTATATTTTTGTTAGAAGAATCAAGAAACACACGTGATATAGAACAATTTACCATAGAACAGTTCCACCCTTGGTAGCAGCTTGTGCCATTTTCTGTACCTTTCCACTACCTCGTCAATATCAACGATAGCCAGTGGGTCATCTATCCCCTGTGTATGAATAAATACTAGAGCTGGGAATGACATATCGATATCATAAACATCAAAACATCAGGACATAGGATAAAACCAAAAAACTGCGTATAACAATATAATTGACCAGTAGATAGGGCGCTGTCCTTTATGAAATTCAAAACTAATTGCTCTGCTCAAATGTGACTGCTCGAAATATTTTTACTTCCCCATGAAACGCAACATTGATAATCTTACCCGTTCTGCCTGGTAATCAATCTGTTGTTTGATGTAGTCTTCTCGGGAAAGTCTCACATCGACGATCTGCATTTCACTGTCTTCCATTTCTGTCTTTGATAAATTTACACTTGATATTGTTATTATGTTAACTTTTTTTCAAAACAAAACTTTCAACAAAGTTTCATAGAATTATAATTCTTAGTGTAAACAAGTATGTTTATTTCTCACTAACGTGGATGTAGAACGTGACTCGGTTCACCGCGCTTGTATATACAAAAGGCTGTAAACGTTTACAATCAAACTAGTCATCAAAGAGCTGAAGGTATCTGTTCCATAAAATAAGCATGTAACTGTGAAATTAGTGTAATAAACAAACTATTGTAGATGACTACTTTGCATAGATAAGCATGTCGTCAGAATATTTCAATGTATATCACATGAGAAGAGAGTTTTTATCAAAGTTTGTTAGTAAATCAAAGTGATTTTGTGCACTCCAACTCGGTCGAGTGAAAGTGATTAAAATCTATTTCGCCATCTCGTCCGAGCGATGTCGCGAGGAGATTGCTCCCGCCGCGATGAAGAGCGATGGGGATAAGCTTATGATAGTCCTTTGTTTACAAAGGTGATATTCGTCTCCGATGTCGGAGTTACATATTGTGCAGAATCTTTCTTGACGAGGGATAACTGTCCATCTTCCTGTTTCTACCGGTAAACGCATACTTGAAGAACGAAATTTACACGTAATTTTCCTATCAATGGTATTAAGCTTGGTTTAGTATTTCTCTTGTTCAAACTTTGTCTTAAAAATGGAATATGTGTGTCCCGTAGAGGAGTTTAAAATGTCATCAAACCATTTTTTGTATAAATTGATCCTTAAGTCTATTTTTCACCAAATTCCGTTTTCTTGTAATGTGTACATTACCTTAAAAATATTACGCGATAACTTATTAGATGTAATCAACTTATGCCAAAATAATACTATTCTACATTTTATTTTAATATCTAATGGGTATCTACCCAGCTCTCTATAAACAATGAAATTAGCTGTGCATTTTCTTACATTTAGAATACTTTTACAAAAGTGCATTTGGATTTTCTCTATAATATTGGTATTTTCAACACCCCATATTTCTGTTGAATACAGGAGAACTGGCATGATAACTGAATCGAATATTTTCAAATCAACTGGTAATGAAATATTTCTTATTTTCTTTATAAACAGCAAAAAATGATTTCTGTGTTTGTTCAACAACTTTTTCCTTGCTTTAAGAAACTACCATTAAAATTAAAGAAAATACCATGGTAGGTATACCCTTCATGTATTTCTAATTCTACGTTACATAAAGTAAAATGGGTGTTCTTGCGCGTTTCCTTTCCGAGAAGATAACAATTTTAGTTTTTTGGGGGTTAATAGTTAACTTCTAAGTATTACAATATTGTTCACATTCATTTAAAGCTAACTGTAAACCATCTGGTGATTCTGATAACAGGACGGTATCGTCTGTATATAAGATAATGAAGAGTGTGAGATATAATCCAATATTGTCAATATAGAGTTTGTCAACTGTTTCCAGACAAGGTACATTTCTCTTAGCAAGATAAGATTCTAGATAATTTAAATAAATTGAAAACAAAATTGGTGATAATTTTCCCCCTGTTTTACCCCGATTTCACAGTCGAACAAATTCGACTGTTCACATCCATTTTTAACACATGATTTGGTATTATCATATAATTTAAAAGTTACATTAATTTTTTTCCAGTAATGTTGCTTTTTTGAAGCTTTTTCCACAGACCGATTCTCCACACGGAATCGAATGCCTTCTTATAATCGATAATAAAGCTGTTTCCGTATGAAAAATATATTGAAATTAGTGAATATAAAACAAAAATATTATCGGCAGTAGAATGATCTTTTCTGAACCCAGCTTGAGCACAACTTATAAGGTCAAATTCATCAGAAATTTTATTTAGGCGATTATTGATAACGGAAGTGAAAACTTTGCCGAGGCAAGACAATAAGGTGATAGCTCTATAATTATCCGGATCTTTTGGATCACCTTTGTTTTTATATACTGGTTTTATTATACCACGCATCCGGTATAGATGCAGCATTCAAGATAAGATTAAACACTTTTTGAAAGATTTGGAAAAATACATCCATGGTACTTTTAAGATATTCATTTATAATTTGGTCTATACCAGGGGATTTGTTGTTTTTTTAAACTAATTAAAGATAACTTGATTTCTTCGGTTGTAATTTCATTATTCAGGTAATCATCAAAAATACTAACATCAAGATTTTCTAGTTCTAAATCCTTATCATCACAAACAGACTTGTTCAGACCCTTAAAGTAATCATATAATTCAGTATTACATATATCCGCATTACCTTTCTTTACAGACCCGTCGCATTTATTCGAAATATTCCAGAATTCTTTTGAATCCATTCTAGCAGTTTTTCTCATCTCATCTGACAATTTCTCCTCATAATTTCTGTAACTTTTATTCAAAGTTTTTCTAAACACTTTACTAGCTCTGTTGAGGTTAGTTTTATTTACAAAATTATTTACTTTATGAAAGCCTTGGCTTTATTAAATTCCACTCTTTTAAAGCAGCATTCCCTGTTAAACCAGGGTGTACTATCACACCTAGAATTCGGTTTCCTGTAAGATTTATTGATACCCAAAACCGACTTAGCGGAGCCTTTAAACAATTCGCAAACTGAATTTAGAATGTTATTAATATCATTTTTGTTACATCATCTTGTTGTTTACTTAATAATTCATTTAATCTATCATTAATTCTTTGTAGGTTACCAGAATATATTTTACAAAATGTTGTTCCTCACTGGATTTCCATTTGGTATATACAGCTCCATTCTCCTGACATTTGTTATAATAATTACATGTATCATTAAAAAGACAAAGGCTAAAAGCAATTCTGCAATGGACATAAGATATTAATGGATCAAAGTCCATGATTTCAAAATCTGTCGTATAGTGAAACATATCCGACGACAATAATAAATAATCGATAACACTAACATCACTATATGTAGTTTTTCCTATTTTTGCACCCTTTCCAATCCGACCATTGGCAATATACATATTGTTTTGCCTGCAGAAATCAAGTAATTTATTACCATAATTATTAATTTTCGCTTTACATTGGCTAGCCCTCTGTAAAGAAATATTGTATATTTTCAACTTTTCAAAATCATAAAGGTACTAGTATAATTCTTCATTTTCATCTAGGTTAAATCTACAAAATCATCTTTAACTTGTGTTTTGGCATTAAAATCTCCAACTATAGCGACTTCGTTACCATTTTGAGATAATTTTATCATCTCCCTTTCAATTTCATTAAAAGGTTCAGAGGATGCATACTTGGTGTTTTCGAGAGAGATATATACACATCCCAATAGGAAATCTTCATCAGACTTCATAAATCGCTTTGAAAATTTAACCCACAATACATATTCTGAATCAGTTTTAGGGAATGTTAACATCGACTTGAGAGTTTTTGTAAAGATAATTACTATACCACCAGATTTTTGTCTCCGTTAGTTCTACATTTAGTAAAATAGTCATACCCGGGAGGTAACTGAATATGATCCAGCGTGTCAATCTTAATCTCAGCAAAAACGAGTACATCGTGTTCTAGGATCAAGTTTTCAAATTCAGGTAAGAGTATCTTAGACTTAATACCATAAACATTGAGAAAAGTAAACTTGAAAGTGACTTATGGTTTATATGACGGTTCATTCTCACTTAGCCAACATTCTGAAATTTACCTGTACTACCTGGCTAACATGTCAAATTTTACACTTGAGTGATTTTCAGCTATAATCTGTTCCTACTTTCCTCGACAGAAAATATGAAAAATGACTAGTTGAATATGATTTATAAAATAAAGATTTAAATCAATTCATGTAGGAAATCATATTTAAGTCTTAAATGTTTGCGGCAATTACTTAATATATATGTACTAAAATCTACATGCATTATGTAATATATTCCAAAATCTTAATCCCACGAGTTTAAATTGTGATATCAATAAGAAATGTATTTGCAAGTGTTTTAATCAATTTTTTTTCAAAATGACAGTTTTAGAACTGAAAACGCAAAATATCTTTTCCATGCTACCAGTAATTCTAAAATATATAATATCCTATTAGATGTTGTTGTGTCTTCTGTTAATCACTTACATAATTGATAGAATTGTTAAATACAATTAGATATTGTTAGCATTAATTGCTTAAATGTTGTTTTATTATTTGATAGCCCGTTCGTGAAATAATGGTAATTGTGTACCTAAATGTTTACCTAATATACTAGTGTGGTAGTAACTCATGTTACCCTTTCTTCCTGGCTTGGGTGGGTTGAAATTCAAATAAAACATACCAAAGGTCTTGCGCTAATTTTCATTTTTTTTTTTCAAATCGCTCATATTCAATGATGGCTAATGCACAGGTTAACATCAACTTCATAGAAAATGGAAGGGGTGGATACTATCTTCTTCATTCAGGCTACAAGTTTTCCGTCAGGACCAGACGTAATGATAGAGTTGATTGGAGATGTGTACAGAGACCGTGCCCGGCCACTAGCTTCGTGGAACCACTATTACAACGATGTCCCACGGACAAAAAATCGTGTTGGGGGATGGCACAGCAAGGTCAACAAGCTCTGCCAGCATGCACACCCAAACATCTTTGCGGCTGTTCAGCTTCTGAAGAAAATTCAGACTACCGATGAAGCAAAGATGATCAAACTTTCGACAGGAAGTAAACCAAGACCAAAGAAGAGGAAATACCGCCACAAAGACTCTCGCCTTAGACAACTAAAGGACTAATACAGAAATGGACATATTGATGTGCTCGGTTATGCTGATGCTGCTTCCCATCGACTGCATTTACAGTAAAAATAGTGAAATAAACTGCATGTGTTGCATCAAAAAAGAAATATCAGCTATGAAAAATTCTGCTGTGAAAAAAAAAAATCTTGTACCGAATTGAATTAATTCCTTTCCTTTTGTATGGGAACACCTTTTATAAGCTTTTACCATTGAATTACTAATAGGTGATTTTAATTCATGATATAGAG